ATATGAAAAAATCAGTGACAAAATCTACATACTATCTGAAAAATAAATAGGGAATTATTGAAGAAATACCTCGAGTAATTTACGATGGATAGCGGTGGAACTAATATCCAGCATCGTTTCAACGCGCGGTAGCGTACCAATCGTTTCTCCCAACAAATTCAGTACCGTTGAAAACGTATCTGTAAAGACTTTAAACGTTGGCTCGAACAATACGTTTGAATTTCGTACTGTCATCTTAATATCGAAACCGCAACACTTGTTCTACGGGCAATAACAAGTACCGCATTTTAAGATTATTTTATTTAGGAAACTTATAATTGACCGATTAAATCGTATCTTTATATTCTCTTTGTTTCTTTCACTCACGGTTCTGCTGTGAAGATAATCGACGTATTCTTCTATAGAGCGTAGATAAGCTCCTCGTAACTGATCTTCCATAATGAAACCGATACAACTGAAAAGTCGTCGACAGCCTGATGTGTCACTTATGAGCGGTAACTCGTTTCGTTCGAATGCCTAAACACATACAACGATACGGTTATTATTCCCATATATTTCTCTAACTGTGAAATATCTATGTTTTATATTTGCATCCTATCTATGTTTTATATTGCCATCTATTACGATTGATAATATGTATAATTAAAAAGAAACAAGTCTTTCTCATATTTCCTTAAAACTTGACTGATCGAGTACTCAGATCTCTGATAGACATCTTTATTTTGACCAAGGGCCAAGGATCTCTCTTTGAATCTTTTAAATAGAATATCTATTCTCTGTAAATCTATTCTTTGAAAAAACAACTGCCTAATTTTCTATTAAAGAGTATCTTATACGATTGTATAAGATATGCATACGAAAATGGTTTGGAATATTATACATATTACACGATGTAACTTATACCTCTCTATGCTCTATGCATACTTACATTACATTATGTATTACATACTATCTTATATTATTGAATTTTGGTGCGTGATGGTCACGTGCATACAAATATCATATAGTATTTTGTTTGATTTTACGTAATAAGGTACGCTATTATACAGTATACTATTATATAATATATCGTACAATACCGTAATTAAAATTCCTTGAATTTTTGGTAACCAATGCTTTGCAAGTTCCTCTTTCACCCTGGAACACATTTTTGAAATGGTTCTCTCGAAATTGCCAAGATCATACGATGCGTCGCGTGCTGCCAATTCCCTTCCATTTATGAGTTTGCAGCCACTGTTACACCAAACATCATAATTATAAATATAAAAGATATAAAAATGTTTAAAAATTTGGTAAGTTTAAAATATGTGATGTACGTATGCATCCAAGTACAAGGTTATCCATTTAACTCGAAATCCGCGCTCGCAGGAACATTGAGAACGCAACGGTACAACATATACGCTTACTATGCAATCAAATGTTGCGAGCCACCTATGAGCTGCTGCTAGAAGTATAATTAGGCGAGAGCACAGATCGGTTTAGTTGCGTCGTAGGATTTTCAATTTGACGTTACAATAAGCAGAGGACGATCGCCGAGAAAATGAGCCTTGTGTTTTCAAATAAACGTAACTGATTCTGTTCACACATATAGCTCGATTTTTTGTTTTTAATAACTGATATCCTGAATTATGCTTACCTGAAATGTAATTACAATTTAATTTCATTTTTCTTTTTTATATAAAATCGCATTTAACTGGAAGTGTTATGAGCGAATTACAATGAAATTGTTCACATTTTTACAAACACCTTTTTTTATTTCATCCGATAATTTTCATTCTTAACGTATGAGACATTTCCTTCTACGTGGTAATTTAAAATTTGTTACGATAATTTTCTACAAATTAATAGCGCTATTACTTGATTTTGGATCGCCCCGATACGAATGCATCTAATGTAAGAATAAGGAATAAGAAAAACAACTGATACATCGAGTTGCACCAAAACACTTGAAAATTCGTATTTAGATAGATCAGTTAAAAAAGATAGAAATTAATTTAACTCTCGTACTACAGTGCCTGGAGATGTTCGAATTAGTGGACGAATGACGATGGTTGTTTATGTTATAACGATAAAAAAGCAAACGTATCTCTAAACAGTCTAAACGACAGATTGAACATCGGTGTTCGACTGGTCATGGACGGTTGGCAACATTTGATCGTAGTACTAAGCGTACATATCACACCACGTAGCCATGTGAATGTTCTCGCGTGCGCCGGTTCCGAGCTAAGTGGATAATTCTGTATATATCTACGAAAACATATATAATCGCTATTACCTATATAACCGCATATGTATGTATGTGTGTATGTATATATATATATGTATATATGTGTGTATGTACGTATTTATATCGTTGTGAAAATTGCGAAGAAAATTGTGCAAGCACAGGTAATTGTAAATAGTATTGGTTTATATTAGACGAGAAACGAACCTGAATTCACGGTACCAATAATCGAAAATCCGTCGTACAACTGGACGATATAATATAACTCTTCTTTCGAGTCTCGCTCTGTTCCATCGATAATTAACCTCGTGTTCTTTCGGAAGTCGTATTCCTTCAAATTGTTCATTCTTTTCAAGTGCAGTAAACTGGAAATCACAGTAGTTATCAAGTATCGTTCTATCTATCGTATCTATCGTATCATTTTTCCTCTTCCATCGCCTGTCGTTAATAGGTATTCGTCGACATTAGTAAATGTACATTCGTTCTACAGGTTTCCATTTATATATATATATATATATTAACAGAGAATATGCGACCCGACGTTATTAATTATCATACATATAACGTATACGGATAGGCAATAGAAACGGAGAAGGCAACGAAGACACCTATAAGCCAACAAGATTCGAGAATCCGCAATAATACAGATTCGATTCATCAGAAAGGATCCTACCGATCCACAATCAGCAACAGAATCGCCCTCGTTCAATGTTAAATATTTGTTATGCCTATATATGCCTTTGTTATGCCTTTGTAGGAGGAACGTTGTAAATTAAAAATACTACATGCAGAACGTACCTGCTTTAACGAAGAATATACCGAGTTTCCGATAACAAATTCTATGACTGACTTCTTCACGCTTAATATATATTCCTCTTTTACTTCTTTCACTAAACGATTTAACAATTCTTTAAATTTGTCTTTCCATTTGGTTGGAACACGCTTTAGAATATTTATTAGAAGATCAACGTCCATCGATCCTACGTAAACATCATCGATACCTTGTGTCAAATAATAGTAGTATCGCAAAACGTTGTCATTATTTTCCAGAATTATGTCTTCGTCCATCTCTTCCTCTTCTTCTATTTCTTGCATACACGTATTAATTCTGCGAAACGCTTTTTCCTTTTCTTTCTTTCTTTTCTGCTTTATCATATCAACAAGCCGAGCACGAAATTTCTCTCTTTCTTGGCACAGCGATAGATATTTATACATCTTTTAAATCGATGTTTTTTCCTCGTACAATTCAATATGAACACATCTCGAACGCGTGAATGCCAAATAGCTACTGTATAGAATAGCTGCTACTGTATAGAAACGACTTAAATTATACGAATGTTTGTCATCCTCAACAGCAGAAAATACTATCGACCGGTTGATTTGTTAAGACTTAAATTACACAAATCGCTATAGTATACACCATTCTAAACGATAAATCGATAAGCAGAAAATAATATCTGTGAAATAAAATTATAATCGACCTATACTCCTTCTTAAACCCGTATTATTATATGCGTATTTAAAGTCAAGCGACAGTTGTTCTTCAATGATAATCTGCTAACCTATAAAGTATCTAACTTTCCATGGTAACCGTCCCTGCTACCTCAAATACGTGTTATACACTATTTTTTTTATCTTTACAATATCTGTGATTTGTAATATCTGTAATGTCTTTGTAATATGTAAATATATATATATATACATATATATATATATATATATATACATATATATATATATATGTAAATACATGTAAATAGTGCGCGTCTCTCTTTTCTTTCGTAGATCGAACACAAGTTATGAGCATATCCTTTAGAACGCCTGTACACCTGCATTCATCTGCATAGCCTACTCTATTTGAGATGTTTAAATCATTACGCGTAAAGAGTCTAAAAGAAATTTTAAACAGAAGCTTAACAGCTAGCTTATTAATGTCCTTTTATTTACATTTGTATATTTAGTAACAGATGCACGAGAACAGTAATTGCATCTATTATACATACATACAAGTTAGAGTCATATATCCTGTTTATACATACATATGCATACATATTCACAACATACACATATTTAGCACGTTATTTCATTATTTTTGGATAGTTTAGCTACGTATCATTATAAAGATTAAGTGTATCTTTGATTGTCAGTCAATAGGCTTTTTTTTACTTTTGATCCCACATCAAATAATTGTGCAACGAATTTACATTTTACATACATATCAATCGTTGACGTTCTGTCTACCTATTTTCTCCCCTCGCATCATCATCGTTTACGTGCATGTTTTTCCGTTATCCCGTTCTTCCTTCTATCGATTGAACCGTGTTTAAATAGCGTTAAAGTATCAGATAAAAAGGTTACAGTCGATCTAAATACATAGCTAATGCACAACGAACGAAATTTTCTCACATTAATAATATTTTTCTTTGCATTCTGTACAATGGAACTACCTTTTAGATATATGAAACGCAAGGGAGTAGTTAATCAATTACACACACTGTATCGTAAGAGAAAGCTAAATACCTTGAACACTAATGTTTCTGTGTAATCATGTTGTATAAAAAATAATTCGATACAACTGTACGCACGTACTTAATACTTAGACAGATCTGGATTTCAGTGCCAGAGTGTATTTAATTCATACCTTCCAAACTTTCGAAAAGAGCAAATCGTAGTAGCGGGAAACTAAACGACATGGAACGAAAAAATGTTTACTATCGAGAAGAATGACAAATTTTATACGGAAAACATGTCTATAACGTGTAAAATAGCATTTTTGAAATTTAACACACTCTGGTTTTGGTGCCCATATGTATGTTCAATTACATATTGTGTGTGTGCACGTGTACATACATACATACATACATACATACATACATACATACATACATACATATGTATAATATAATAATATAATATAGATATACTATAATATAGATATAATAAAATATAGATATACTATATAATCAAGAGGTCTACAATGTGCAACTGTTCAAAGCCAGTAGTACGAAAAATCGAAAACCTGTCGTTGCTCGCACTTCACTAAATTACATTAGTTGACGGCGTTCACGACAGTTATTCATGCTGTTTATTATTTAATCGATTGGATTAATGGTTGCTCGGCAAAGCACGGTAATTCCGGGTGACAGCGAACGATTACGGTCTCGTGAAGCGATATCGGTACGGTGTCCAGGTGAATAATTCTATGGAAAGAATAGATATACGAATATAGTATACCAACAATATAATATATAGTATACATTCTGTTAAGCATGTGTTATGCCAAAGGGTTACAACGTGCATAATGTTATCGCGTCCCGATACACCTTTTCACATTTGTTGATAATTAATCTTTATGCACAAATTACAGGAAATTATCTGGAAAAATATGCATATATTTACATACTTGTGTGAATTTATCTGCGATTACAAGACTTGAAAAGCACGATACACAGAGAATTTTCGTTGAAACGAGTATCGAGATGCCATCGACACGATGTATATGTATTACATCGTATTTACATATATATGTGTGTAATCATAACTACAACTATATATATATATATATATATATATATATATATATATATATATATATACCTATATATATATATATATACCTATATATATACCTATATATGTATCGGTGGACAGGTTTGAGTTAATGAGCGCGTCTGATAGATGATGATGCGCGTTATTATACATTGTCACGCATGCTAGGTGATCTTGGTGGCTGCTGTTGTAATAGCTGCGATACTACAGGATACGAGGATAAGATGCATGTTGAACGTTAGGCATGCATCAGTTATTTAGTAATGAAAATGAACGAGGACGTCTTGATCTCGTTTCTTAAAGTATTGCGTGTCAAATCTTTCGACATCTCGAATTGAATTGCGTGTTTCTCGTCGAACTTGATAATACGTATGTAAGTAAGTAAGTACATATAACGCATACATTTTTCTATAAAATCGGAGATTTATTAAATATTACATGGAAACAAATTTCCCCGATTCATATTATTCCTAATAAGAATTTCTTGTACTTGTAATATTCCCTAATATCGAGTAATGTTCAAATTCGAAATGCATATCGATCAACCTGATCGATTCAATTATAATAAACGTGTATTTCTTCTTTCGATTTTTTTTTCTTTTCTTGCCTCCACCGCCATCATCTTAGCGTACAGTTCACCTTATTCTTACTCTACTTTGATTTAAAGCATATCATTCTCCGAAAAACATTTCTTTTTTCGTTGAATCGTACAACGGTATTCAAAGGACGCGAGATAAAGAAATAAATGAAAAAAAGGCTATCCGGTCGGTACAGTATCTGAATTTTAAATCTTGAATTTATTCGCAACTTGGAATAGTAATGTTTAAATTAGCGATAGAAAAATTATTTACAAGTACTGCCACCTCACCGATTTCGATGATTTTCGAATATGTTGTAGAAATCGAAATCAATATTTTGAACAACTTTCCCTGTACATATAATCCCCGCTCGGTCTTTACTTCCGAGATACCCATCGAAATATTTTTCAAATTTTTATTCTGACGTTACTTTGAAATTAAAGCGAAACTTAACGTAAAGTAATCGAAATCAGATCAAAATTCATTAATTGCTCGATGACAGCTTGATCATCTGTATTTGGTTAGATTTGAGTTAGGTACTTTAAATAGGTCTCTCATCTCGCTGGAATAGCTAAGCCAAGTTGCATTTCCTTCTCATCTCCCTTTACTCCCAGAGTAAAAGTGAGAGAAATATTTTCATGGATGTCTCGGAAACTCGAAAGATCGAGCGCGGGTAATACTTATCGGGAAAATCGATGAAAATGTTGATTTCTTCTACGATAAAATCATCGTTGATTGGAAAATCGTCGAAATCTGTGAGGCGATAGTACGTGTAAATAATTATCAAAAGTTTTCGTTCCGTCCTCGAACATGAAATCATCTACTACCGTAAATAACACATACACTACCACTCATAAATATTCGACCGATCGACGCTTCTATAGTAATATATTTTTCGCAGTAACGATATAGTACGTACATATGAATTCAACCGAATCCTACAAATTCACGAATAGAACTAAAATTAATGCCTAGAAATAGTAGTTTGTAGGTACTTACGGAATCAACAGATTACAAATTTACATAACTTACCAATAGCACATTGCATTACAGTCAAATAGGTCTGTAAACTACATTTTTGAAGATTGGAGGATAAATTGCACATTATCTTTAAACGATAAATTCCACCGCGTCGAGATATTCCACGACATAACGCCATATACATATAATTCTAACGATCGTAAAAAACAAGGTTATCATCGTAAAGAATAATGTAGATCCTCGTTCTATCGTAAAGAAGCAAGCGTTCCGATACTTATGAACGGTAGTGTATACGAAAGTTTCGTGCGATCAATCAGCTTGACGATCAAATTAACGAAATGAGTCGCTACAAGAGCGATGCAAAGCTACGATGTTTGAACATTGGCTAGATTCGATACGCCCTACGATTTACCGTTGCTAGTGAAGCATGGACAGAGCGCGTTCAGTATTCGACTGCAGAATCCACGGGCACGATGATTCCAACCAGCGACGCTACCGATACCCTTCAGTCTACTTCCTACGCAAACAAATATTCTGTTTCTTTTACTGAAACTAGGGAACAAGCGATGAATGAAAATAAGCTTGCAGACATATTTATCTTGCTTTCTCGTCATGCCTTTCTATCGATTATGATGCCAAGTACGTAGAATTCTTTTTTTATATCATACTATAAGGCTTACCTTCACTGACAGCTTTCTGAAACATGAAATTGTCAATGAATAATTACGTTCGACAGCGTTTTTTTGAAAGTCGACGAACAAAAGATTTGCGTGTCACTCGCCTCCGTCAACACCTTCCTTTTTGATGCTTCCGTGATCGCCGTTTGTATAACTTCACTCACAAACTTGCTCGTTTCTCTCATTAGCTCTTCGTCATCTTTGAAAGCCTCTCTCTGTTGTTCCAGCGTCCCAGTAGTTAACATCTTTTCCCGTTCCTCCATAGTCCATTTACAAGAAACGGTATTGTTCATTTCTTCAGTCATAATTTCTACGTTGATGGGCTCGAATCTGATTAATTTTGACCAGTGATATTCTTAGAATATTTCAGTGAAATATTCATTCTGTCGAAACTGCGAACGAGTATACATCTTTCTTTTTCTTCTTTCCTTTCTCGAATAATTTCATTAGGAACAGAAATTACATATACAGACTTTCCTATCGATACAACGGTTACAACGCTACCAATACTGCGGCTGCTAGCATCTCACAATTCTGTTGTATTTAATATTTAATTTGACATAATACAGAATAACCAAAATAATACGACTCGTCGATAAAACGAGCACAATTTAAATCATATCCAATTTGACTGTTATTTCTTCACCTTCGCAAATAATCGTAGTTGAATTCTTCTTAAAAGATGTTATTGCGAAATGAAAAAACTGCTCATGACTGTCATGATACAGGCTAGGTAGATAGGAGGTGTTGGTAGCACCATACTAACAGTTGTTCAACGGAATTGTATATGTACATTTATCGTATATTGTTATCAGAACGGACAAGAAAATGGAAAAGCACAGATAATACCCGTTTTACTTACATTTGCGGAGAAACTCGAAGAAAAGGCGATTGACCTTTTGGGCATATGTAGATATCGAGCTACAGGTGGTGCGCATTCGTTCTACAAGGGAGACCGAGTGTCGACTATTCAACGTCATGATGTATTCTTTCGACCTTACTCGAATCGATTTCCTTTCAACCTTTCCAAAGTCCAAGTCCGTCTTAATCAATTAATCCGAGTTTTCTGTGAGGATTTACTTGATTTTAGTACAACTGCAGTTTCGACATCCTGTTTTTGTTCACGTCTAGCTCCCTGCCTCTCTCTCTCTCTCCCTCCCTCTCCCTCTTTCCCCTTCCTCCCTCCCTCCCTCCCTCCCTCCCACCCTCT